TCTGAAAATGACCGATAGTCGGAGATAAACGTTCATTTGCGTAAATCGGCTTATTTTTTAATGCGACGAAATAAACAGTCAAAATAAACATTTGTCATCGCGGCAACTATCATAGTTCAAAGGAAATGAAGTGGTTGTTCTTCCTGGGGTTTATAGTTCCATGAACAAACTGACATGTATGATGTATGTGCCAAATAAAAATAAAAATGGTACATAAATGGTTTTTCTAAACCGGGGAACAGGGGCACAGCGCCCTGAATACTCTTGACTGGTGCCCTCTTACCGAATTGCTGTTTGAACTTTCAAGTCATAAATATATTTCTAGAGCCGCGCACTTCCGTGCTGTCGTACAACAAGAAATCTTTCTCAAATATTTTTTTTCTCCATGAAAACTATCCAGCAACACCAGCTGACAATGTGTCTGGATACCAAATACACTGAAATTACTCCAAAAATATTTCAATGGCAATAGATACACCATTAAAACGGTGCAGAAACCTTCTGATATGTCGTTTCCAGGTTGATCCGCCATATTGTTTCAGTGCTAGCTTAGTCGCTCCACTCCCTTGCCTGTGTGTGCTCCCTATTGTTCATTTTTTCTAGAAAAACCCCTGTAGTAAGGCCAAAAAGTCAGATGGCTGTCAATCGGCCATCCTTGATTCGATTTTGAAACAAATTGTCATGGACATGTATCCTAACATGTATAAAGTATGTGCCAAATTTGAATGAAAACTGACAAAGCATGTTCAAGATGCCGCATTAAAAAAAAAAAAAGATGCCTGTCAGTCGCCCATCTTTGATCCAATTGCCAAAGAAATTGTCATGGACATGTATCCTAACATGTATAATCTATGTACCAAGTTTGAATGAAAACTGACAAACCTGGTCAAAAATACAACATTTTCAAAAAACAAGATGGCTGCCAGTCGGCCATTTTGAATTGAATTGCTAAACCACTGCATGTGCATATGTCCCACATAAAGTACTAGGCACATATAAGGAATGAACGGATCGATCCAGAGGATTCTGAAATATGACTCCGGACGCACGAACGCACATCGCACGGAGACTGAATTATAAGTCCCTGTTTTCGGACTTCGTCTGAACGGGGACTAAAGAAAACAGAAAAACTTTAATACAATAATATGTAAAAATACAAATATGTCATTACAGGCAATGTAATGCAAATAAACAAGTCATTGTCAATTACAATCCAGTTTTTAGTGACTATCAACATTAGCACCAACTAATTATTTACACTCATGCAACAGACATGGGTGTAAGGTTTATTATGTTTAATGGACAAGTTTGAATAAAATATTTCCATGCAGGACCAAGATTCATTTTCAGAATGGCAGAAATACTTGATTATGATGATTTTAGAGTTACGAAAACATATAGTTTCAGAAATGACCACGCCCATATTTCTGAAACCACACCGACTTTTGAGAAAGCACGCCCAAATTGTAACTCGATGTTCAAATAACATTTACTAACTCGAAGTTTGAATAACTGTTAATGAAAGTTTAAGTTACAAAATTGAAGGAAACAAAA